CTGGGTGGCTTAGTCAAAGCATTTGCCTTTGGCTCAGGTCATGATCCCAGGGTCTTGGGATTGAGTCCTGCATTGGACTCCTTGCTCAGGAGGGACTCTGCCTTCTCTTTTTACCCCTCTCCCCTGCTTGTGATCTCTCTCACTCTCTTTCAAATAAATAAGCTCTTAAAAAACAAAAAAGGAAAATGGTTTTGAGTAGATTAATCAGAGAAATTACCCTGTGGAACACATTAGCTAGATGGTATGTTACCTCTTGCAGATTGTAATAATAATGACACTCTTCACTGCATTTTCATGCATGGAGAGATTTAAGAGTACCATGAAAGGAATGCAATGAAAATGAAAAAAATAATATCAAGCTTCTGCCATTCAAAATAGGATTTTGTAGCAAAACAATAAACTTGAAAATCAGGTGTTGTTGAGAGAAGGGATTTCCTTGATTTTTTTCTATCCCATTGGCATATCAAGAGCCACACATAGAGGACTAAACCATAGAGTTTTATATTCAGAGGGAAGGAAGGAGCGGTGCCAATTCCTCCCAGCCCTGGAGTATTGTGGGTCACAGGCAACAGGAAGAAGGAAGAGTGAGTAGTGAGATGTGTGGGTCCCAACTCATTTCTCCTGGCAGAGACCCAGAGAGAAGGAAGCACATACACTAGTTGAGGAAGATACAGAAAGCAGAGGAGTTGGTGTGCTCTCTGTTTGGGGGACATCATTTTGCTGGGTAGCTCTTCACCAACATAGAAGGTCCCAGAGAAACTAAAAAGATGGGGGAGCATTCACGGGCAGAGAGAGTCTGGTGGCACTAAGCAATGGCTAAGTTGAGGGGTGGAGGATCTGCCAAGAGGCTTAGTACGGTGGCCACCACGTGACCTGCATTAGAGGACATCCAGAGGTAGAAGGAAGCCATGGCAGAATTCTTATCTCAAGCCATGGGACAGGGCTACCTAGTCCCGACTGGTCAAGAAGGTTTCATAAGCCACCGACATCAGCTGGCCAACTCTACCCCAGGGAGAAACAGCCAGACCCTCCCATAGACCTGTATTAGTACCAGGTCACTTCGCCCAATACCCTCAGGGGACATGTGCCCTCTTCTTCCCTCCATATGCTCAGATTTCACCTCCGAAGGGGCAATGGGGTGAGGATGAAATCAAACAGGTCAAGCTAGACCTTTGGAAACTATTTAAATCAGTTCCATTTGAGTGGATCCAAGCACCGGGACAGCTGCTCAAACTGTTGCCATCATAGGAGGACACAGGCATAAAAACTTTGAGGCTAGAGAAGAGGTGGTATATATACACATGGAATATCACTCAGTCACCAAAAAGAATGAAATCTTGTCATTTAAAACAATGTGGATAGAGCTAGAGAGTATTACACTGAATGAAATAAGTCAGAGAAATACAAATTCTGTATGATTTCACTCATATGTGGAATTTAAGAAATAAAACAGATGAACATAGGGGAAGGGGGAAAAAGGCAGAGAGGGAGACAAACCATAAGAGACTCTTGACTATAGAGAACAAACTGGGGGTTGAAGGTGGGTCACAGGGGGCAGATGGGCTAGATGGTGGATGGGCATTAAGGAGGGCACTAGTTGTGATGAGCACTGAGTGTGATATGTAAGTGATGAATCACTGAATTCTACTACTGAAGCCAAAATGTTAACCACCTAGAATTTAAATAAAAGATTAAAATAAAATAGAATCATTAAAACTGAGAAAGTAAGAGTAAGTAAAAACTTTGAGGGTGGACATTCAGAAGTTCTTATAGAAATATGACAGAATAATGACATCATCATAAAAGCGGCTTGTGTTTTGTGTGTCTTATTAAATTTTATTTGTAGTAGTTCATTTCTATTGGACTTTATGAAAGTATCTGCAGCTCGATGGAAATTAAAAACAGCAACAAAAATGGTCCCTTACCACAAGTAGCTTGAGAAGCATGGGGTTATGGATAGAACTAGGTTTTAAACCAGACTAAATACATTCTTTTCCCTTCAAATCGGTGAATAGGAACTTACAAAGGAAGATCAGATTAGTTTTAGAAAAAATTCAAGAAGTGACATTGCAATGTTTCCTACATGTCTGAACTATTTTATATGTATATATATAATTATATAAATTATTAGTTTATATATATACTAATGATATATACATATATATAATATATAATAATGAGAATACGTATTTTCCCATTTTTACTCCCACTTCATCTCCCAGGCCTTTCCTTTCCTCCCAGGATGGCTGGTCCACTGGGGGAACACATCTGCAGTATGGCTCTGTGGAGGGGAGGTGACTCTATCTGATGTCCTACGAGCACCCCTCCCCAGGACCTATCAGCAACTCGGGGCATGTCCTGAGGGGTAAGCAGCATGGGGCTTCAACAGGAGTAGGCTGCCAGGTTTGACTTGAAGATGCGGAGTTGGCCCAGCTGGTGGAGCTTGTGAGAGCAGAGTTAGGAGAATGTATGGGCCTGTTATCCCAGCAAAGTACAACTTCACAAAACAGAGACCAAGTTCTGAGTTCCGGGAGCTTCCATTCCAAGGTGTCATGATCATGGTCTTGCCCTTGTCAACAACAATCATTTCAAAGACAAATATCTGTTCACAGATCCCACGTTGAAAAATTCAGTCACCAGGCTGGTCATTACAGAGAAATATTCTGGAATTTTGAGAATGTCTCACTTTCAGATAGATGTTTCCTTAAATAGCGTTCCCCAAACACATGAGAGGGAATGTTGGGGATAATTAACTGAATTTTCTCTTAGATATAAGGGAGATATTTGGTCATACTTGGTGTACACCAATGGAGAAGGCAGTCCCGTTCACCGACACTTTTCTCAGGAGGACAGCTGTGGGTAAAGAGAATTCATAGTAACCAGTATGCCTCAGTCACACAATGCTGTTGTGTTTTGGTATGGGTCATCCTGTTTAATGCTAATGGTTACCCACAGAGCCAACACCATTCTCTCAGGGAGGGTGAGACCACACAGAATCCAGTTAGGGAATTTGCCCAAGTCATACTCCTGGATGATGCAGAGCTAGTCTCCAAATCACATCATCTGAACTCAAAAAATGCAGTCTTCCTACCATGTCTGAAGCCTGTTGACCATGAGACACCAAGCAAAGGGACTTGATTGAGTCTGCAGGGTCCGTGGCTTGCTTCTGTTGGTGTGTAGACTTCTAGCCTTGGTCACCTCCAGCCCTGGTCCAGTCCAATACAAATGGGAGATTTTCCTCCCTGTGATGTAGGCCAGTCAAACAAGAAAATATTGGAGGACACCCTTGATCAATGGAGGACTCCAGAGGAACGAATGACAAGTCCTTTTGCTCTGAAAATGTAAACTGTAAGACTAGGTGTCCCCCCACCCCCCAGGGTGAGCTGTAGCTGCCACTGTGATCTGCCAGCCCATAAACAAAGCGGCCACACTCAGCACCAGGAAGGAAGGTAATGAAATTACTCACACCCACCAGACAGCTGGGACCGCTGCAAAGTGTCCTTGTCGGAACACCAAGTGTTTGGGGGCTGATGTTTTCAGAGTGGCTTCTCTGGGAATAAGACAGATGATATAGGATGGGAAATGCTCAAAGTAAAACTTCTTACAATTTCTGATCCTGGGGAAGGACAGCACAACTCCGATTTACTGTGCAGAGTGACCCGGAGGTGTGTGTCCCCATGCCCACATGCGCACACATCCACACATGCCCACACGCTCACACGCTGCCCTACAGAAAAGCAGAGGAAGACTGCTTAGACAGTCACATGAGCAGTCTTGGAAGCTTCCATTAAGGTTAAAAATGCTAGGTGGGACCTGCGTGTCTTGGAGATCATCACACACACGCCACGAACCAGCCTTCACTTAGGAAAGGGAAACTGCCTGTAGCCTGTGGAGTTGTAATGAGCTGGCTTTTAAGACGGCCTGGAAAAGCTCTTTGCAAACTCCACATATATCCATCACCCTAGCAAGCCCCAGTGGACTCCGGCACTCCTTTGGTTTTATAAACCATTGCAAATGCTTGAAAGTTTGAGAAAACTTATGACCTTGGAACGCGTTGCCTGTTTTCTTACAACTTAATGAGACTAAATCGTTGATAAGTTCTGTTTTGAAGCCTAATCGTTCACCCCCGGGCGGGATGCAGGGAGCCAAATCCTACTTTCCAGGGGACAGATTCCTACATCGAGGGCTCGCGAGGGTCATTGGCCCACAGCCCCCTCCTCTGGCTCGTATTCTCCAGTGATTTCTGGCAAAGCCAAGGCGGTTTTGGCCTGATGTATCTTGGCAATTTGTCTGAAACCCCTCCTAATACTGGAACCCCTCCTAATACCTTCCAAATACTGGAAAAGCAGCACTCCCTGGTTAGACGGCGTTCTGACGGCGGTTCTAGAAAGCGGCACGGTTAGGCCCCTCAGAGTTAGGCAGAGGTGGGGGCATTCTTTCATTCATTTGACAAATGTCCGCCAATGGTTCACTGCCTGCCAGGCCTCTGGGTACTCTGGGGGCTCCTGGGGATGTCAGAGAGGCTGACCCTGGCTCTCAGGGGGCCCATAGTGTGCTGGGGTGTCCAGCAAATGAAGAAACGGTTCTATAAACATCGAGGAGTTTGGCAAAAGGCATTTGTGGCTGTAGTGGGGGGAGGCTTCAGAACTGGAGGGGGTCATGGGGAGACATGCCAGATTATGCAGATCCCCCCCCAGGCTGCCTCAGGACGCTCGATGCTGCAGAGGTAGGGACAGAACACAATCAGTGTTTATTAAGTGCCTCCTTGGTGATAATTCATCCCAGGGTGGGGGGGTGTTAATAGAAGCACCCCCTGCCCACGAGGAACTAGTGGGAAACAGTAGTTGGAAAGGTTGGACATCCGTAAGCCTGCACTGCTGGAAACATGGATATGCAGTGGTTAAAACACCAGAATCCCGGTTCTCAGCCTCAGATCTCAGGTTCACCATGTCGGCTGTGTGATTTTAGGCAAGTTTCTTTTTTTTTTTTTTTTCCGCTGGTTAAATTGACTGTTTTTATTAATTTACAATTAAATAGTTTTCAGTTAACACAAGAACATAGAGATAACATCACCATTGCACTGTTATAAAGTTAAAAGGCCTTTGTGTTTCATTACCAGGTAAAAATTGTGGGGCTAGGGGTCTCACAGAGGATGCCAAACAGCCACTGGCCCTTTTATTTTGGTCTTATTCACAGAAATACCGACTTAGAGAAATTATAAGCACAGGCCTCTTACTAGCTTCCTAGGCGTCTGAACTTTTACTTTCAATACCAAATAATATCTGGAACACATGCTCACTTTTATGTTTTTTGAGAAATTCTAAGAACTGGCCCAGGTTCATGTGATAGTCGTTCCTTAATCCATAGTCGCCATGGGCCTCAAGGAGCAATTCTTCGAAAGAATGGAAAAGGCGCAGATCCTCTCCATTTCCTTCGGTTTCGACACTTTCAGCATGCTTACAGGAAATGTGTTTCCAGTTGGGGTACCTAATTGTGTGCCAGAACTCCTCACAGTGCTCTTTGAAGCCCTCCACACAGATTATACCCGGCTTTCCTGTCATGCAAAATCCGGTCACATCCAACCTTTTCCCAACATTCAAAATCTTTTTTCTTAGGTCCTGCTGATATATATGGTGACTGTAGATCCACATTCGGAGGAATGTGTTCTTGACTGGCTTTGCTTGTGTAGATGGTTCATAAACAAGCTTTCTGTTCAGAAAATAGGAGGAACTATTGTCCTGCAACCACTGGATTGCGGCACAGACACAGAGCTCACCTGGATCAAAAGTCCCTATGTGGGAAGTGAGAGTTGCTGTTGAGCAGGAGTTGCTGTTGTCGGTCAAGCTCAGACGACCGTCCAAATAGCTGCAGCGCTGCGTAGGGGTAGCTGTGAGGCATGGCTACTTGCAAATCAATTTTCACCTTGGGCTCCTCCTCCTACCCCTGGAGGGTAATCACAAATTCAATTTTTGGCGGCAGTGCCTCCCTCGTGCCTTCCAAATATCGCTTTATATTCGTCAGGACATTTACATCTTCAAGTTTTACTTCGCCTTGGTTAGGAAACATAGAAAACAGCATTTCCATCTCCAGCAGCTGAAGCTGCAGGCATTCTTTCATTGAAGCAGACATGTTGCCTCGAAATCCACTTGCCCGGAAAAACTGGAAAGGCCCAGGGCCACTAGGTTTGTTAATTTCAGCGGTGTCCAGAGAAATTTCCCGAAGGTCCTTTTCCGTTCAGCAGTTTTGCAGGAACGCTATGCACCGACAGCCGGGGTCCGCAGTTCCGCAGGCGCGAGCTGCGCATCTTGGGCAAGTTTCTTAACCTCTCTGTGCCTCATTTCCTCCACGTGTGAAACGGCAATCAAAATAGCATCTATCTTCTAGGAATGTTGTGAAGAATAAGTAAGAGAGAGGTGCCTGGGTGGCTCAGTCGGTTAAGCCTCTGCCTTCAACTCAGGTCATAATCTCAGGGTCCTGGGATCGAGCCCCACATTGGGCTCTCTGCTCAGCAGGGAGCCTGCTTCCCTCTCACTCTCTGCCTGCCTCTCTGCCTACTTGTGATCTCTATCACATAAATAAATAAAGTCCTTAAAAAAAAAAAAAGTAAGTAAGAGACACACTCAGAACGAGGCAGGCCTAAGTAAGTATTGTGTTACTATCCTGGTCCTTAGGTCCCTCTTTGGGGGCGGGGGCTGTGTGGCTGGGGTGCTGGGAGGCAGTCGATGTCCTTACAGGAAGGAGTGAGCAGGGGCAGCTCTGGAATTACCGCAGAGAGGGACCAAGAGCTTCCAGACCATGAGGGCTTTACGAGGTAGGCATGGTCCGGCCATGGCACCTGGACCCTCTCCGGCACCGTGGCCTTCACTGTGGCAAGAGTGAGCATATCTTCCTTTACCAGCTTCTGCCAACTGTATTCAGGCCCAGCGTCCCGTCCATGGTGGGGAGAGGTTGGCTGGCCACAAAGGGGAGGGGTGTCCCACCCAATGGCCTCCCCTGGCTCAGCACAGCCAGGGCTGGCCCTTCCCCAGGAGTCACCAGGCAGGCCAATAGGAGGCTCAGGGTTCCAGGGAGTCGGGGGAAGGGCAGGAAAAGGGGAAAAAAGGCCCTGGATTGGCTGCTGAGGCTCCCAAGAATTGATGCAGGAAGGGACACCAAGCAGAAAAGCTCTGGAAGGAGCATCCCGCATGAGTCCAGGAGCAGGCGCTGGGCCGACACCCCCCAGGGAGGGGACCCCGCCTCACAGGAGCTGCCAGGCTCCTACGGCGTTGGGATCCATTCCCCTTCCCACTTCACCTTCACCTTCCTCTTGCCCGTGAACCACCTACTTCCAGAAACCAGGAGTCCCGTGAAGGAAGAAGGAACACCACCGCCGGTGCTGCCAGTCAGCTCGGAGGGAAGACCTCCAATGGCCAGGGTCCTCTGAGGCCACAGCCACCTAGACACACAATGCCTCTGTCACCTCTAGAAGCCTCTAGAAGAGTCAGTGCACATCCAGCCGATACTGGAATAGCGCGCATTTGTCGAGTTCTGTCTTGTCAGGCCTGCCTGGGCCTGTCTTCCCTTGGCTGCTTCCAGGCGGCGGGACAGCTGAGTTATCCTGTGGAGAGACCGGGGCTAGGAGGGGCCTCTGCTCCCCCAAAGCCCAGGCAGGTAACACGCCCGGGAAATGGCCGGTGAGTGCCAGAATCAGTCAGAAATCCCAAAGCTCATAGCAGGAAAGGGGCATGAGCAAGGCTTCCTTCCGGTGGAGAGATCAAGTTTCCAGAGCAGAGACTACACCGTTCCAAGGCTGGCAGACATGCCAGTACATCCATTTTAGCAAATGCAGGTGCCCTTTCCAGTTCAGTAGGGGGGTTGGTTCCTGTCATGTTGTGTGACAGAGATTCAAATTTAGTTCACTCTGTAAGTCAGTAAAAACTAGCAGTGGCCAAAAGTAGGGTTGTTGTTTTTCTCTTTGCTCAGGTGAGCCTTGATCTCATCTCATTCAACCGTGGCCGCCTCTAGAAGGCTGATGTGAGAGCTCTCTGGGGAATAATTTCCAGCAAAAATATCAATAGTGACCTTTTCAGGAGAATGAATCCTCCAACCGGTCAACTTGGCTTAGCAGGAATGCAGCCAAGTGAGCATGGGTTTGTCCGTTTAACACAACCATCAGCTCCCTCTTGCACACCAGACGTCTTGAAACGAGGACAGGGATTCAGAAAGTCCACGTGTCTGTTAACTCGGGCAGGAAAAGCACACGCGTCTTTGCGGTTGCTAGAGACATGGCTATTTTATTGTTTTTTAAGGAGCAACGATGGAGGCTTTGTTGTTGAGAAAAGCAACTACCAGTCTCTGTATCTTTTTTATGACTTCGGAGACTTTCCTTCTGAATGCGTTTCAGAGGTGCCTCCTAGTTTCCCTGCATTTGGCTCATGCCAGCAGGCTGCCTCCAAGAAGACCTCGTGGCTCGCTACCAGCTCCGCAGAGCATAATCAGTTGCAAATGTCTGGGAGTGGATGCTGATGAATGGAGTAGCTTTATCACTTCGCTCATTTTTTACTCGGAGCGAACTGGAGAAATCTCACATGAGACAAGCTCCTTCCCTATTTCCTCCTCCAGCCACTCCCCCCAGCAGTCCTTTTAACATGATGAAAATGGCAGCCAAGAGGGATGGCTCGTCTGCGGCTGGGGCGGCAGGACCGACGGGATCATGCGCCACGCTCATCTCGGCTGCTGGACAGAAACAGTTGAGCTGGGCTGGTCTGGGGCAGTGATCTCGGTAGCGGGTGAGAATTTCACTCCACATCCTTTCTCTTTTCCTGTGAAACTTGCTCCTTGCTGTGGGCCACAGTGCACTGTGGGTCTCCAGGAGGGGCCGGTATGATGCCACCGGTATAGATCACCACCCCAAGCTTGTTATCTCTGACCCAGATCAGAAACGCAGCCTCCCTGACTGCTGTGACCCATCTGTCCTCCAAATGATGGGCTGGCTTTGATCCAACCGTGTTCCTGGTGCTTCTGTCCTGGGCCAGCGACTCGACCTGAAGGTGGGACAAAATAAGGATGGAGCCTCAAAGAGCCAGTTTGTGGGCTGAGGAGGGCAGATGGACGAAGAAACTGGGAAGCTAGAGAGTAGCACTAAGTGGGGGTGGGCCAGCTGGGAGAGGACAAGCCTGTCCAAGGACAGCCATGTGTCTGCCTGGACCTCTCTCTGGGGGCCACTTCTTCTTCCAGTGGAAAGGCCCAGGGCAGGTCTGCCAGGCGTCAGACCGTTGCGTCTCTGTGTTAGTTTGCTGGGGCCACCGATTAATTGCCACAGATCTGGGGATGTAAACAACAGACAGTTATTTTCTTACAATTCCAGAGGCCAGAAGTCTGAAATCACGGTGTTGGTGGGCTGGTTCCCTCTGGAGGCTCTGAGGAGGAGTCCATTCTGTGTCTCCTGTGTGGCTCCTGTGGTTGCCAGCAACCCTCAGCTTTGCTCGTGGATGCATCGCTTCTGTGCACAGGGCCCTCTACCGCTGTCTCTCTGTGTCCCTGTCGCTAAAGAGCCTCCCTCCAGGGACATTGGTTGTACTAGATTATGGGCCCACCTACTCCAGCGTGACCACGTCTTAAACTAATTATATCGGCAAAGCCCCTATTTCTAAATCAGGTCACATTCTGAGGTCCTAGAGGACATGAGTTTGGGTGTGTGTGGGGGCTGGAGCTGGTGAATTAAATTAAGAATGGGCAGATTATAACCCAGGTGACCACGAAGGTCCCCTGGCCTCTGAGCTCCCGCTTTGGGAAAGTGAAAACCACGAGGTCTTTTGATTGCAGGAGCAATGTCAGTACACCCACACGAAGGAAGGGAAGTCACAAGGTTTATTACTTACACATCCCAGAAATTGGGGGTGGGGTGAGGAGGGAGGTGGTTGGCAATGAGCCAGGGGAAGGGTCATCCCTTGCACCAGGTCCCAAGCAGGGAGGATCTAGACAGCAGGGTAGCAAACACCTCTACTCATAAGGTGGTTTGGGCTGGGGTCACTAATTTTCATGGGGGCAATTCTAAGTGGTTATCTTATTTTATTTTTCAAAGGTGTAGTTATTTATTTTAGAGAGAAAGAGAGAGTGAGCTCGGAGGTTAGGGGCCGGTCCAGAGGGAGAGACAATATCAAGCAGACTCACCGCTGAGCAGGGAGCATGACACGGGGCTTGATCCCACCACCCAGAGATCAGAACCCAAGCCGAATTCAAGAACTGGCAACCTACCTGACCAAACCACCCAGGCACCCCTAAGTGGTTATTTTGAAAGGTGCCCCAGGAAAAGCACAGCAGGATCACGGGGCAGGAATCCTAAGCTCAGGCCCTTATCTACACGTCCGGCTCGCGGTGTGAGCAGGGCTGTCCTGCTGCAGAAAGCCATGGGACAGCCACTCCCAAGGACTGCTCATTCATCACGGGGGACACTTCTCAGCCCACCACCCTCTCTGTAGGGAACGTGGTTGGTGGCACGTGCATCTGTCCCCCAGCACGGTGGTTGTGGCTGGCATGAGGAAGCAAGCAGAGAGTGTGGGGCAGGGACCTGTGAACAGGTCACAAGAACTGGAGAAGGCCAGGATAAGGACCGAGCCCTACAGAAGCGCAGTGGGAAGAACACCAGGAGGGAGCAGATGATCCAAGGCCCATGGTGGAGACGAGATCACAAAAGGGGACAGCTGTGTATAAAGGACAACAATGGCACAAGGGCTAGGCCCCCAATGCCATGGACCCATCTTTCCATAGACCACCTGAGAAGCCTCAGCAAAGGGGATGTTAGGCCACCCCTTCACTGATCTCTCTTTATTGGATGACTCTTAGCAAACCTCTTTCCTTAGGCCACTCAAACCCTCTCTCAACTTATAATTATTAAAATTCAGCCTTGAGCTGCTTTGACATAGAATAACAGCAAAACGAAGTTTATAAATGTCTCTACCTACTTTCTGCACCAAAGAAGAGTTTATCCTACCTGTCGGGTCCCAGTAAGAGGTGCTAAGAGGTGTCATTGCCACGACAACGGCCAAGCCTCCCAATGCAAAGGCTGCAAGTCTGGTCTATCTCAGGGGGTCACTGGTAAAACACTTGATATATTTTCAGAAGAAAAATTTCTTTTAATTCACTGACATTTATCCATAAGGTGGGACCACCTAGTGCTTGGGGGGAATTTAGAAAAGCAGCATCTTTAAATGAATCAGAATGCAGGTTGTTACCATTCCCAAAGCAGTTGTCAATGATGAAGATCATTCATTCTTTCAGCTGGTCACCACCAA